TGTACCTGTAGCTGTACCTGTACTTATAGTTGTACCTGTAGCTGTACCTGTACCTATAGTTGTACCTGTAGCTGTACCTGTACCTATAGTTGTACCTGTAGCTGTACCTGTACCTATAGTTGTACCTGTAGCTGTACCTGTACCTATAGTTGTACCTGTAGCTGTAACTATACCTATAGTTGTACCTGTAGCTGTACCTGTACCTATAGTTGTACCTGTAGCTGTACCTGTACCTATAGTTGCACCTGTAACTGTACCTATACCTATAGTTGTACCTGTAGCTGTATCTTACTGTCGTTTCTAAAATGATGCGACCTCATACTGCACATTGATCTTGTACTATGAGTGTACCCTTACCATCACCTGTACACCTGTTTTAGAATTAATAAAAAATAATTATAACCTAACTCTTCATAAGTCAACAAGTGCTGGAGTCTCTACAGGTGTACAGCTCTGTCACCTGTTCACACCCTGGAGAACAAAGCCACGACTCCGTTTATTACAACATCAACTGGAAACACTGGTGCAGGTAGGCCCAGCAGCGAGCGTAATGAGAAAGATAGCCCAAGGAGCGAGCATAAATAGGAAGACTGACCAAGGGCGTTTAATGCTCAAGGTAGGCCCAGAAGCGAGCATATTGAGGAAATAGACCAGGGCGGCATATTGAGAATGCCAAGCGAGCATATTGAGGAAATAGACCAAGGAGCATATTGAGAAATGCAGAAGCGAGCATATTGAGGAAATAGACCAGAAGCGAGCATATTGAGAAATAGACCCAGAAGCAGATATTGAGGAAATAGACCCAGAAGCGAGCATATTGAGGAATAGACCCAGGAGCGAGCATATTGAGGAAATAGACCCAGAAGCGAGCATATTGAAATAGACCAGGCGGCATATTGAGAATAGCCGGCCATATTGAGGAAATAGACCCAGAAGGAGCAGTATGAGGAAATAGACCCAGAAGAGCATATTGAGGAAATAGACCCAGAAGCGAGCATATTGAGGAAATAGACCCAGGAGCGAGCATATTGAGGAAATAGACCCAGAAGGAGAAGCATATTGAGGAAATAGACCCAGAAGCGAGCATATTGAGGAAATAGACCCAGAAGCGAGCATATTGAGGAAATAGACCCAGAGCGAGCATATTGAGGAAATAGACCCAGAAGCGAGCATATTGAGGAAATAGACCAGAAGGAGCATATTGAGGAAATGACAGAAGCGAGCATATTGAGGAAACAGGATTGACGATTTGAAAAGACCAGTTTGAAATGCCAGAGGGATATTGAGAAAAGACCCAGAAGCGAGCATATTGAGGAAATGACCCAGAAGCGAGCATATGAGGAAATAGACCCAGAAGCGAGCATATTGAGGAAATAGACCAGAAGCGAGCATATTGAGAAATAGACCAGCATATTGAAATGACCCAGAATGTGAGGAAATAGACCCAGAAGCGAGCATTTGAGAAAGGAGCTGGAGGAAAAGACCAGAGGTATTGAGGAAATAGACCAGATAATGAGGAAATAGACCCAGAAGCGAGATATTGAATGACCAGATGGGAAATAGACCCAGAAGGAATTGAGGAAATAGACCCAGAGCGGCATATTGAAATAGACCAGAGCGAGCATTGGAAATGACCCAGAGCGAGCATATTGAGTGACCGAGGGATATTGAGGAAATAGACCCAGGAGCGAGCATAATGAGGAAATAGACCAGAAGGAGCATATTGAGGAAATAGACCCAGAAGGAGCATATTGAGGAAATAGACCCAGAGGGCATATTGGGAAATAGACCCAGGAGCGAGCATATTGAAATAGACCAGAAGCGAGCATATTGAGGAATGCAGGAGCATGGGACCAGATATTGGGAAATAGACCAGGCGAGCATTGGAATAGACCCAGAGCGAGCATATTGAGGATCGAAGCAGCTATGAGGAAATAGACCCAGGCGAGCATTTGAGGAAATAGACCAAGAGGAGCATATTGAGAAATAGACCAGAAGCTATGAGGAAATAGACCCAGAAGTGAGCATATTGAGAATAGACCCAGAGCGAGCATATTGAGGAAATAGACGTTTGACCCAGGAGCGAGCATTTGAGGAAATAGACCCAAGAGGGCATATTGAAATAGACCCAGAGCGAGCATATTGAGGAAATGACGAAGCAGCAATTGAGAATAGACCCAGGAGCGAGATATTGAGGAAATAGACCCAGAAGCGAGCATATTGAGGAAATAGACCCAGAAGCGAGCATATTGAGGAAATAGCCAGAAGGAGAAATGACAGAGGAGCATATTGAGGAAATAGACCCAGGAGCGAGTTATTGAGGAAATAGACCCAGAAGGAGCATATTGAGGAAATAGACCCAGAAGGAGCGAAATAGACCCAAGAGCGAGCATATTGAGAAATAGACCAGAAGGAGCATATTGAGAAATAGACCCAGAAGCGAGATATTGAAACAGACCCAAGAGCGAGCATATTGAAATAGACCCAGAAGGAGCATATTGAAATAGACCAGAAGCGATATTGAGGAGACCAGAAGGCATGAGGAAATAGACAGAGCATATTGAGAAATAGACCCAGGAGCGACATATTGAGGAAATGACCGAGCGGGAATAGACCAAGGCGACATTGAGGAAATAGACCCAGAGCGGCATATTGAGGAAATAGACCCAGGAGCGATGAGGAAATAGACCCAGAAGCGGAGAAATAGACCCAGAGCGAGCATATTGAGGAAATGACCAGGAGGAGCATATTGAGGAAATAGACCCAGAGGCATATTGAGAAATAGACCCAAGAGCATATTTGAGAAATAGACCAGAAGGGCATATTGAGAAATAGACCCAGAGCGAGCATAGTGAGAATAGACCCAGAGCGAGCATATTGAGGAAATAGACGAGATATTGAGGAAATAGACCAGGAGCATGGTGGAAATAGCCCAGGAGCAATGGAGGAAATAGACCCAGAAGCGGCATATTGAGGAAATAGACCAGGAGGAGCATAGTGAGAAATAGACAGAAGGAGCATATTGAGGAAATAGACCCAGAAGCGAGCATATTAGAAATAGACCAGGAGCGGTATGGAGGAAATAGACCCAGGAGGAGCATATTGAGGAAGTTGGGGCGAGCGTAATGAGAGGGTAAAACAAGGGAGTTGCTTATGAGGAAGTTAGGCCCAGGGGCGAGCGTAATGATGGGTGTGGCGCCAGAGTGACAGCTGGTAAATGGTGGTCAAGGATTGTACTAACTGGTAACTGAGAGGACCTTGGCTGATGTTGGGGTGCAGGTGTGTATGAATGAACAAGAGATAGAGAGATAAAGGTAGAGACAAGGAGACAGAGATAGAGAGATAAAGGTAGAGACAAGGAGACAGAGATAGAGAGGTAAAGACAAGGAGACAGAGATAGAGAGGTAAAGGTAGAGACAAGGAGACAGAGATAGAGAGGTAAAGGTAAAGACAAGGAGACAGAGATAGAGAGATAAAGGTAGAGACAAGGGAGACAGAGATAGAGAGGTAAAGGTAGAGACAAGGAGACAGAGATAAAGAGATAAAGGTAGAGACAAGGAGACAGAGATAGAGAGGTAAAGGTAGAGACAAGGAGACAGAGATAGAGAGATAAGGAAGAGACAAGAGATAGAGATAGAGAGATAAGGGAAGAGACAAGGAGACAGATAGAGAGATAAAGGTAGAGACAAGGAGACAGAGATAGAGAGATAAGGGAAGAGACAAGGAGATAGAGATAGAGAGATAAGGGAAGAGACAAGGAGACATATTTAGAAAGACAGACAAACAAAGAAGTGAAAGAAGGAAGCAGGAATAAAGAGATAGCCAGGTAGGCAGACAAAACAGGTAGATAAGCAGGTATATATAGGTATATATAAGTCGATACAGGTAGAGGGGCAGGTAGATACGATACAGGTGGGTAAGCTGGTAGACACAAACAGAAGATGTCTGAGTGGTGGAGGTGGTTGTGACCTTGGTGGATGGGTGGTGGTAGTAGTTGTGGTGGTAGTGGTGGTGGCAGTTGTGGTGGTGGCTGTGGTGGCGGTGGTGGTGGTGGTGGTAGTGGCAGTTGTGGTAGTGGTGGTGACAGTTGTGGCGGTGGTGGTAAGGGTTGTAGTGGTCACAATACCACCACCGCCACAACTACCACCATCACCACTACCACCGTTACAGCTACCACCATCACCACTATCTAAGAGGTAGTCATTACAGGAACTTTTTGCATACGAATAACAAAGATGTGGTAAATTAGCAGAAATACGGAAATAATTTGAAAATAAGTTAATTACATGAACACAATCCAGGTCTTATTAACACCTGCCATACACCCTCTCCAACACCCGTCATACACCCTCTCCAACACCATAAATAATACACACCACACTTACACATCTCACGCACACGTACAAAATATCCAATGTATACATATCCCTCACACACCTGTGGTGGCCGCTGGACGTTCAGTGCAATAACGTGTATGAGGACCACAGGATTACCAGTGGAGAGGACAACTTTGTATTAGGGCTTAACGGATAATTGCCTCTATAGAGAGGAAGAGATATACACGACACTGTATGATCGCCAGTGAAGCAGACATACACCACAGCATTATGATCGCCGCTGGACATACACCAACGCATGATCATCCGTAAACAGCACTTGTATCACCTGTCTCACCATTACAGACGCTGCACACACTCGACATCGTAGGATCGCAGCTGGACGGAGCACAGACTCGTATGACCACCACAACATCCTATGTGGCCCGTCAGACATACACACTGATGAGGAGGGCGAGGCACCAACGCACTACCCTGCTACAGTTGTGATCGCCGCCACTGGGTGCACACACCTAATCCAGCACAATGAAGGGCGGATGGGCAGACCGACATACTCAACCATACAAAATGGTCAGGCAATGATTCCCAGCCCTCCCCTTCCTGTATCCTGGGGAGGGAGGAAGGAGTAAAGAAAGAGAGGAAGGGTTGTGGTACAGTACTTACCATGGTTGTGGTTTTTGAGTGAGCCAAATATGTGGTCGTCTTGTCGGTGGTGGTGGTGATGGTGGTCGTTGTTCCTGTGGTGGTCGTCGCTGGCGCCTGAGAGGGAAGAACCACGACCATCGCTGGTGTGGTAGTCGCTGGTGGAGGTGACGCCCCCCAGGTCACCCTCACTACCCTCCTCTGTGTCGGCGTCGCTCACCTCCCCCATCAGGAGTGCACGACGTCCCTCCCGCATGGTCCGCCAGTCGCTGCGAGGGGCAGGCTTGGGCGGCAGAGGGTGGGTGATGGTGGGCGAGGGAGGAAGTGTGGGTGGGCGAGGGTGGGGGCATGGTGGCCCAGGAGTGACAGGGTCGACGGAACTCTCCTCTAAACTGTTGAACAACTCCTCAGGGATGTCGTGATAAGACTTGATGCAGGCGGCCACCACGCGAGGTGCCGCCTGCACCTGGCCGTCCTCTGGCACTACCATGGTCTGGGTTTGCAGTTCATGGCTACCCGCGGCACTGTCGTGGCACTCACTAGCGGCAGCGTCCGTAAAGACGATGGTCGCGTGGTCACACAGGCACGAAGGAGGCGGGCTGTGGGAAGGTCCGCACCGCTCGGCGTCCCAGCCCTTACTGACTCTCGCGCCTGCAGTCACCTCTTCACCACCACTACCAGTGTTGCCGCTGACCAGTACACCTGCCCCCTCACTATCACCACTACCTGTGCTGCTGCTGACCAGTACACCTGCCCCCTCACTATCACCACTACCTGTGCTGCTGCTGACCACCACACCTGCCCCCTTACCTATTCCTCCTCCTTCAGTGTCAATATCGTCGTTCTGGCTGAAGGGACTGGAAGCCTTATAGCTGGTGTGAGGTCTTTTGATGATCCCCGTGATGGTTCCATAACGCCTCCGAATAAACAAAGGCTTTACGCGTTTTATCTCGATGATATCAATGTCGTCCTTCGTGTTCTTAGTACCTGTGAGGGAAGGTCTCCTGATGATGTTGCCCTGCTCGTCCAGGTCAGGTGAGGAGCGGTGACCTTGATAAGCGTCGATTGGGTCGTGTTGACCAGACGGAGCCCAGCGGGGGAAGGTGCTGATGGTATTGCGGTACCGTCGCAGCCGCGGCTTTGGTGACGACCTGTACGGGTTCTTGACGCGATAAGTTACCTCTGTGTCGTTTACGTCCTCCTGTGACGGCTGCGGCGATAATTGCGACCCATCAGACTGAAATGAAGATGACTCGAAAAAGGCTTTTGTCCGGGACACCTGGCCGGAGAGGCCCCGGAGCTCCTGTATGGCGGCATCAGAGGGAGAGTATGTGGTGAGGACAACAGAGGCGGGGCGGGTGAAGGCCTGTGGTAACTGCAGGTCACTCATAGGGCGGCGGCGCGTGATGAGGGGTCGAGGAGTGGACCGCAAAGACTCTAGATTATCTGCAGGAGGTGGTGTGTCTGGAGGAGGAGGAGGAGGAGGAGTTTCAGGGATATGTCGCACCCAGGAGTTCCTGAGACTGGTGCGACGAGGTACAGTGGCAGCCACGTCGGCCGGAAGACCCGTGTACCCCACCATCTCCTACACGCGCCTCCTGCAGAGAGAAACTGCCGTCAGATACTGCTACATTGTTATGAGGGGGGTGGTAGTTACTGTCAAGTAAGGCAAGTGTATGTAAATAGATGTTTGTAGATAAGATAATTATATTGTAATTATATAATAATAATAATAATAATAATAATAATAATAATAATAACATGATGACACCAACAAATCAGATGATCGCGGAGGTCACAAATCTCACCTTAACAACAACCAAATGAGTCATAAAGGCAAGCATGAACTTAGCATGCTTCCCTGTTGGGCGCTGTAAACGCTTCTGCGCTTCACCTTGCACAGGATGTAAGTGCCCAATAAACTAGCCTGGGCAAACCTGTTGGCAGAGTACATGGTGTCTCATCCCTGAGCTACTGACGAAGGAGCCAATGATACTTAAAACAGAAACTGCCTTGTTGGGCCATCGTCAGGTAGTAAAACTGGGTAGGTATTTTAATTCAATTCAATTCAATTTCAATTGTTTATTCCTTGATAGAGGAAGCGGGATCCTAGTGCTGTCACTAGGTACTCCTGTACAATGACACCAGAAGCATCTGATGTGTGACAAGTATATACAGTATAAATATTATAAAGGGGCTTACTAAAGCCTAAGGAAGGAAGGATATTCCTTTAACACATAATCAATGTAATTTACATAATATGTGGCCAGTATGGGGAGGATCATCGTGTCTCCGTCAGGGGGTCGTGGAGTGGTGGTCCAGCAGGCGTCACGGAAGCGTTGTGTGTGGGGACATCTTAGGAGGTAGTGGATAAGGGTGCGGCTGTCGGTATCTGCATAATGCACAAGAGTGTTGCTCAGGGGAAGCGGGAGCGGTTACAATACTAACAGTTGACGTATGACAAGTATCTCTGGCCGAGTAACCCAGTAGCAACGCACTCTGACATAACACACTTAATATAACACACCCCAACGCACAACACCCCGACACACCACACCCCGACACACCACACACCGACGTACCACACCCCGACACACCACACACCGACGTACCACACCCCGACACACCACACCCCGACGCACCACACCCTGACGTTAATACTTGAGATATATCTCTGGACATCAGTAACAGTCATTACTAATTATTACTCTCGTGTAAGACTTTAGTGAGTGTGTTCCTGAGTGTGTTAGTGAGTGTGTTAGTGAGTGTGAGAAGTGAGTGTGTTAGTGAGTGTGTTCCTGAGGTAAGTAGTGAGTGTGTTAGTGAGTGTGTTCCTGAGGTAGGGTGAGTGTGTTAGTGAGTGTAGTAGTGAGTGTGTAGGAGTGTGTAGGGGAGTGTGTTATGGAGTGTGTTAGTGGAGTGTGTTCCTGAGTGTGTTAGTGAGGTGTTAGTGAGGTGTGTGGAGTGTGTTCCTGAGTGTGTTAGGGAGTGTGTTAATATGAGTGTGTTAGGTGAGTGAGAGGTGGAGGTGTTAAGGAGTGTGTTAGGTGAGTGTGTTCCTAGGTGGGTTGGTGAGTGTGTTCCTGAGTGTGTAGTGAGTGTAGTAGTGGGTGTGTAGTTGCCTTCTCAAAGTCAGAAAACACAGACACACACACACACACACACACACACACACACACACACGCACACACACACACACACACACAGACACACACACACACACACACACACACACACACACACACAGACAACAACACACACACACACACGCCCCACCACCTCAGGAGCCTTACACAACGCCTACAGCACCACCACACACCCCAGGACCCGCCTGACGAAGAACCTCAGGTCCTTCTCCACACTGACCGTAAATCTCATAATACTGATATAACGTTCTGAAGAAATATCCCTCTTGCCTTACGCTATAGCCCAAAGAGGGGGAAGAGAGAGAGAAAGATGATAAAGATGGTAAACGCAATTATAAAAAGAAATAAAGATGGATAAAACACATAAAGAAGGATAATTACGACACCCTAAAGTAATAACAGAGAGAAGCAATGGAGAGAGAGAGAGAGTCACCTCGTGCACTACACCTGGACCACTAACTAGAAAGTCATAGCGGAGGTTAAGAGGAGGTGGGGGAGGGGGGAGGTGTTGGGAGGGGGGAGGTTGGGGGAGGGGGAGTTAGAGGGAAGGAGAGGTTGGGAGAGGGTTAGGGGGAGGAGGTGTTGGGGAGGGGGAGTTAGTAAGGAGGGAGAGGTTGTTGGGGAGGGTTAGTGGGGGAGGGAGGTGTTGGGGAGGGGGGAGTTAGTAAGGAGGGAGAGGTTGTTGGAGAGGGTTAGTGGGGGAGGGAAGAGGTTGTGGGAGAGAGTAAACAGAAGAGGGAGACGAGAGAGAGGTGATAGGAAGTGTTTAAAGGAGAGAGAGAGAGAGAGAGAGAGAGAGAGAGAGAGAGAGAGAGAGAGAGAAATATTCCTCCATTACTTTATTTCTCTCTCCTCCTCGTCCTTCACCTCATCAATACTCTTATTCCCAGACCTGGCGCGTCAATCCTCTCCAGGTAACTCACCACACCTGTCTCCACCCCGCAGGTCAGGTGTCGCCAGGTATACAAGTCTACGGGGTTATCGACCATGTTTGTGGCGTCTCTCTGTACCCGGGCCAAGACTCAAGGGTTAAGTCATCGTACTCAGAGGGTTAAGTCATCGTACCAGAGGGAGTGTCATCGTACTCAGAGGTTGTCATCGTACCAGAGGTTGTCATCGTACCAGAGGGTTGTCATCACCCAGAGGGGTTGTCATCGTACCCAGGGAAGGTCATCGTACCCAGAGGGTTAAGCCATCGCACCAAAGGGTTAAGTCATCGTACCAGAGGGTTAAGTCATCGTACTCAGAGGGTTGCTTATCGTACTCAGAGGGTTAAGCCATCGTACTCAGAGGTTGTCATCGTACTCAGAGGGGGCTGTCATCGTACCCAGAGGGCTGTCATCGTACCTGGGCGCTGAGTCATCGTGCCTCAAAGGGTTGTCATCGTACTCCAGAGGGTTGTCATCGTACTCGAGGGTTAAGTCATCGTACCCAAAGGGTTAAGTCATCGTACCAGAGGGTTGTCATCGTACCCAAAGGGTTAAGTCATCGTACTCAAAGGGTTGTCATCGGACCTGAGGGTTGCCATCGTACCAGAGAGGGTTGTCATCAATCAGAGGTTGTCATCGTACCAAAGGGTTGTCATCGTACTCAGAGGGTTGGTTATCCGTACCCAGGGGTTAAGTCATCGTACTCAGAGGGTTAAGTCATCGTACTCAGAGGGTTAAGTCATCGTACTCAGAGGGTTAAGTCATCGTAAGTAATCAAATTAATTACATAACCATTAAATTGACCTAATTATCTACAGCAAATTATATAAGAATGACAAATATATAATTACGTTATCAAGCACTGGTGGGGGGTGTAGGTGGGGGTGTGTAGGTGTGTAGGTGGGGTGTGTAGGGTGGGGTGTAGGTGGGGTAGGTGGGGTGTAGGTGGTGGGGTGTAGGGTGGTAGGTGGGGTGTAGGTGGGGTGTAGGTGGGGGGTGTAGGTGGGTGTGGTGGTGTGTAGGGTGGGGTGTAGGTGGGGTGTAGGTGTGTAGGTGGAGGTGGTGTGTAGGTGGGGTGTAGGTGGGGTGTAGGGGTGTAGGGTGGGGTGTAGGTGGGGTGGGGGGTGTAGGTGGTGGGTAGGTGGGGTGTAGGTGGGGTGTAGGTGGGGTGGTGGGGATGGGGTGTAGGTGGGGTGTAGGTGTAGGTGTGTAGGTGGGGTGTAGGTGGGGTGTGGGGGTGGTGGGTGGTAGGTGGGGTGTAGGTGGGGTGGGG